TTCAGATTCTTCCAACACCTGGGATAAATGTCATGTGCTCATATGATTGACCATATTTGTGCTTGAGTGTGTGCGTGTGTGTGTGTGTGTGTGTGTGTGTGTGTGTGTGTGTAGACTATGTAGCACGGGCTTTGAAACTCATACTGATCTTTCTACCTCTGGTGTCCAGATTGCTGGCAGTAAAAGAATACACTACCACAGATAGCTTGAAAATAATTTTTATGGTCTACATCTCCTGTTCTTATCATGGCCAAGGAGGCCAGAAGATGGTGTCAGAGCCCCTGGTACTAGAGTTACAGATAGTAGTGAACTTCTATATGTACCAGGAATAGAATCTGGATGCTCTGACAGAATCTTCAGTGCTCTTAACAGGTAAGGTATTTTCTATCCGAAGTTTTCTATTTTTGATTTTACTGTCCAAGGCAGCCTAGTCAGGCTCAGATACCTGATGCTGATTAAAAAGTAAAAATTCTCCTTTACTTGGGAAAATAAGTCTCAGGCAGAGATGAGCTCCCTGTTTATCCAATACAACATAATCGGCCAATTATTCATATATGCACAATCAACAAAAATGGATTCTTCAGTTTGTATTCATGTGTTTCAGCATTCTTATTCACCCAAACTTAACAAGGAAGAAACTGGAAGGGATTGGGAAAGGAGGGAATGAAGAGATAAAAAGGGAAAGTGATACAATATCTTTAATTATTATTTTATGGTATTGTATGGAGTCTGCTACTTGGTTCCTGGCCACCCGGTTAGCTTAGACCAAAAATAATTACATAAAACTGTATTAATTAAATCACTGCTTGACTCATTAGCTCTAGCTTTTTATTGGCTAGCTCTTACATGTTAATTTAACCCATTTCTATTAATCTGTGTATCGCCACGTGACTGTGGCTTACCAGCTAGATTCCAACCAGTATCTGTCTCTGGCAGCTCCATGGCTTCTCCTAACTCTGCCTTCCTTCTCCCATGCTATAGACCAAGCCAGTTTTCTTCATTCATTAACCAATAAAATCAACACATAGACAGAAGGAACCTCCCTCACCATTATGGAAATAAGTTTTAAATAAAAAGAGGGACTAGAGAGATGACTCAGCAGTTAAGAGCACTGGGTGTTGTTACAGATCCCAAGGTTTCATTCCCAGAACCTACATGGTAGCTAACCATTTGCTGTAACTCCAGTCCTAGGCATCTCTTGCCTTCTTCTGGCCTCTGTAGGTACTGTGTACAGAGGTATGCTGGCAAAACACCCATATAACTATTTACTTTTTAAAGTTAGAAAAGGAAAGAATAGAATTCTCTACAGTGATGTCACAGTCCTGAGACAGCAGCCAGGGCTAGTTAAAATGAACTCCTGATCTTGCATGGAAACAGTTGTGGTTTTCTGCTGAGGCAGCCTGCTCAGAGGTCAAAGCAGCTTTATTCTGAGGTTAATAGAGTTCATCATAACCGTCCGTCTAAGAGCAGAGTACACAATGCTGTTAAGTGGCCTTTTCTTGAAGTATTTTCTATTTATGTTCTCTATCTTTTGTATCTGTGAGAATTGTGGCATTGGTACAGTTATCTTTTAGATTAAACATCAAGATTGACAGGTCACATAGGCTCCAAAGCAATCTTCTTTCACTGTGTGGTTTACCTGATTTTCAGCTAAGACCTTGTTGTTGTAAATTTAAAAAGTGTCACAAAAAGAGAGCTCACAAGGAGGGATTTTTTTATTAGGGTAAAGGGAATGTGAAAAAAATGGGGAGACCAGTCTTTAGGTAAAGGAGCAGCAGAAGAGAAGAGAGAGGCAGAGAGATGGGGGAAAAGACAGAGACATGCAAAGAAGTAGAAAGAGAAAGAGAAAAGGGGAGAAAGGTAGAAATGGAGGGAGAGGGAGAGGGAAAGAGAGGAAGTGGGCAAGGCCCACCTTTAATGTGCACAGGAGGTGATCTTAGTGACTGAAGCTGAGGACATATCTTGTCACAACCCCAAGGGCAGACCAGTACAGATGCCTGAATACTAACACTTGTGATACAAGATAAACATGTCAGAGGCATTTCTTTCCATCATTATTATAATTTATATGTTTCTACATGACTTTGAAGTGAGAATTCCCTAAACATCTCCACTTTTATATTGTCATCATATTCAGAAATGGATTTGTTAACCGAACCTGCTTAGGAATAGACAGAACTCTACATAAATGTGTAGACTCCCTTAGTAAAATCCACATGCTTCCTTTGTTTTGGAAAAGCACTGTTTTGGAAATAACTCCCATGCTTTCCCTGTCTCCTGGAGGTAACAATTTTTCTTATTTCTTCTGTCTTGACTGTTGTGATGCTAATCTTGGAAGTCAAATTGACTACATCTGGAATTAACTAAAACCCAATGGGTATACCAATGAGGGATTTTTCTAAAGGTTTTAAAATTAAAGGCCTGTCTTTAATCTGGATCATTTGAAGTGATATCCATGTTCAGATGCTTGGTTGCTGTGCACACCTCTAACCCCAGCACTCAGGAGGCTAAAGGAGTCAGATTTTTCTAGGTTTTAGACCAGCCTTATCTACAGAATGAATTCCAGGGCTACAGAGAAAAACCCTGTCTCAAAAACACCAAAAAAGAATAAAGAAAAAAACCCCAATCAAACAAAGAATAAGATCTGCCTTAAATCTGGATCACACTTTCTGGTGTCACCTACATGTATAAGGAATATTTGTTGTGTTTGGTGGTCACACAATAATGGTGGGATAGACCTCCAAAATCTATTAAACCAGAAGTAAGCTTTATTCCAGAAAAAGAAAAAAACCCACCACAGGGCACACAAAGCTTGTCACCTATACCTGTGATCACAGCCAGCGGCTGGCTTCTGAAACTGTGGCCCTGAGGGTTGGTTTGGAGCCTCTTCCTACAGTAAAATCTAGCACCAGGTGTGTGTCAAAGGGCTTTTACAACCTTGAGGTCAGGCTTAAAGTCACTTTACACTGTTAGTTTTACAACTTTTGTTTATGGAACATAAGAATGCTAACTTAGAGTGTTTGTGAAAGTCAGTGGCTGGCACAGCCACTTTTCACTGTGCCTGAGAGAATGTAAGCAGAGAGTAGAGTTACATAAGGCATAGTTAAAAATTAGAATATAAGCAGAGTGTCCCATAGAGGCAATAGCTAGAAGCTAACTTTTTTCGCCCGTACCTGCCTAGCGGGAAAGCTGGGAGGCAGGAAATGACTGTTAAAAGTTTACCTCTGTACACAGTGGCTGCCAGGATGTCTGCTCTTAAGGCAGAAAGTGTTTGTTAGAGGTTAACAGTGGCTGGCAGCTCTCTCTCTCTTTCTCAGTCTCTCTCTCTCTCTCTCTCTCTCTCTGTTCTCTCTCTCTCTCTCTCTGTTCTCTCTCTCTCTCTGTTCTCTCTCTCTCTCTGTTCTCTCTCTCTCTGTTCTCTCTCTCTCTCTCTCTCTCTCTCTCTCTGTTCTCTCTCTCTCTCTCTCTCTCTCTCTCTCTCTCTCTTTCCAAAATGTGTTTTAGCTTACAACTTTATGTTTCTGCATTTCTGGACTGGACCCTTAATTTCTATAACTTATTCCTTTACTTTTTATTACTGAAGAAGGAAGCTCTTTCTTTGTCTACTTGCCCTAGCTCTGGCTACCAAGCTCATTTCTTTACCAGCATCAGAGCCTACTTCCTTGATATTCTGGTATATACTGAAGACCAGCTGAGATATCCAGCCTCATGAACTTAACAACTACTAGAATCTTCAAATTTCTATGTTTGGCAGACATTTTTTGGATTACCGAGACCACAGCTTGTAAGACATTCTAATAAATCTACTTTCTATATACATGGAGAGATTCATTCTACCAGTGCTATTCATGTAGACAACTTTGAATAATGCTGCTGTGGGTTTTTTCACCTGCCCATTGAGGAAGATGTGATGGCGTTAGTGCTCATGAACACTTTTTTCCTGACTTATTATGCTCTAAGTATTCAACTTTCCCTGGAGACTAATCCATTTGCCAACAGTTTGTTCTGAATTTCATGAATGAAACTCCAAAGGAATGGAACCATCATGCAGCTGTCTGGTGGGAGAAAGACTTATTTGTTTTTAATCTGTGATCTAGTTCTTACTTTTCTTTTCTGGTTATCTGAAGTCCCTGTGACATCCAGGTAAAAATTATCTTCAGTTCACATAACCTCAGTGTGACATAACAAATATCTCCCTTTGTATCTTTAAATCTCCCTTTGGCTGATAATATTCTGGGCATCCTTCCACCTGTGGGACAGGGACATAGTATATTACAGTGGCCCGCACAAGCTAGCTAGCCACATTGTGTCAAGGAGAAGAACGGGCAGTGCCTGTGGAGAACTGGAAGATAGCAGGGTCTGCTACTGGACCCAGGGGCTCGTGCTATGGAAACACATCTCTGCTGATCTAGAAAAGGTCTTTGGGATAAAAGGCAGGGCCAGGAACCACTGAGCTGTGTCTTTAATTTTCATTTTTTAAATTTTTATTTCATTAGTTAATTAATTAATTTATTGTTTTTCAAGACAGGATTCCTCTGTAGCTTTGGAGCCTTTCCTGGAACTAGATTTTGCAGATTTTCTTTCTTTCTTTCTTTCTTTCTTTCTTTCTTTTTGATTTTTCGAGACAAGGTTTCTCTGTCTGTCTTTCTTTCTTTCTTTCTGTCTGTCTGTCTGTCTTTCTTTCATTTTTTAATTTAGTTTTAGTTTTTCGAGGCAGGGTTTCTCTGCACCTTTGGAGCCTGTCCTGAAAAAGGGCAGGCTGGTTTAGAACTCAACGGGATTCGCTTACCTCTGCTTCCTAAGGGCTGGGATTAAAGGCCTGCGCCTCTACCATCACCACTCTGCTGAGCTGTGCCTTTAAGCACAGAATAACTCTATGGGAGGTGCTCTTGTCACTCAGGACTCACTAGCCAATCAGGCCCTCCAGGTGACCTGCCAGTCAAAAGTTGTGCGGGATCCTTCCGGCAGTGGCCACTTTCAAGCTTGACTTTGAAGAGAAGATGGCGTCAGTGCTTTTGTGTGTTCTACTGTGAGTGCAGGGAGCTGAGCAGGGAGCATGGACAAGCTGGAAAATCATGATATGGTGAGCTTGGGGTTATCCTCAGACCGGGAGAAGTGGCTAGTTGAGCCATGGGAGACAGTGTGGTGCATCCTCCTCTAAGCTGGGTGGGAGCCGGTGACTAGATGCAGAGTTCATCATGTTTCTGCCTGGGCCTGCTGGTCCTGCGTGCCCCAGCAGGGTCTGTGTGATCCTGTGTGATTCTGCACGATCTTTGAAATTCCTGAGCTGGCTGGAAGCCTCTGAGTAACTTACTATCCTTACTGCGTCTGCTCAGAGATTTGGGAGTGGGACTGTGCTTTGAAATACCCTTGTTGTTGACTTCACTGTGACATGTGGGCTCCCTTAGTGCTTGTATTGTCGCAATGGACACAGATTTGCCAAAGTCAGATAGCTCTGTTCCCTTTAGTATCTTCCAGAAGTTCTTCACTTGGAACATTTAATATTTAGGTTTAGGATCCATCTGGAGTTATTTCTGTGGAGCTTGTAAACAGTATTTCTTGTATAGAGTAGCACTCCACTGCTAAACTGTAGAAGAGTAGAATTGATGGTAATAGAATTTCCAGTTCTTAGGAGACATTAAGTCACAAAATAGAATTTCGGTAAGGGAGAGCTGCATCCCAAATGCCCCAAAGGCAATGGTATTCTTACCTGTTAGAGATTAGTATGATAAAATATAAAAGTTTGTTCCCCAGGATTAATCAGCTACATTCCCATCACAAAGGAGACAAGCCTGATTTACAACCAGCACAAGTGCCCATCTGTCCATTAAAAAACTGGCTTCTAAATGCTGCTCAAGGGGCCATTACAGGATCACAACCTTAAGTCCTGTTGTGCCATAAATGTATATTTATTCTATAATTAATTTCTAGTCTTTTTGAAAAGTTATTTTGAGTCAAGGTCTCCTAATTTGATTGAGATGTGCTAGAAACCTGTCTGTAGCCCCACAAGGCATTGTCCTTGTTCTCCTCTTGACTAAACACTCTAAACCTTGCATTACATGTCTGCAGCACCACAAAGTTCTAAAATTACCACACAGTTCTAAAATTGTGTTTGAGTCACATAGTGGACTGTCCATTGCAGAATAGGGAAAGGATTTGTGTGTGGAGCATGGCTTCTCCCTTCAGACCAGAAGAGGAGGAACATTGTTCTGTGTTCACTGTAGGGGGAAACAGACTAGACAATGGCTAGGTCACAGACTGCTCTGCAGGGGTCTCCATTATAAAGAAGGACTGATGGGGCATGGTGAGTGACTTTCTCTGTAATTTCCCTGCAGGTATTAATTCCTTCCATGTGAATGAAGACAGACAGAATTGGTGGGTGTACAATTTAGGGAGGATAGCTTGAACTACTAAGTATTCAGTTTCCAATTAGAGAACTCTCCTATGCAGATATGTACAATCTTAGCTGACATTGTTAAGTTAGCTGAAAGGTTTGAAAAACAGGCAATTGACTGTAACACCATCACATCACAACACTTAGTAGCTAACATTTTACATGGAACAAAGTCATACAGTCTCTTATTAATGGCACTCTTTCTCTCAGGGAAAGGACTACTCCATTTCAAATTTAGTATAGATAAGTGTTCTATTATTTTTATTATTGTAAAGCATCAATTATTGGTATCATTTTTAACATTCATTTTCTTTAGATGAATTACTGCTATATTTTCAATGTTTCCTAGTTTAGGAGTTTCATTCCATTCTTTCTTAAGTGCTGTTTATTTATTTATATCAATTTAGAGCAGGGTTTCTTAACCTTGTTGGTCACAGCTTCCTTTGGGGGATCAAATGATCCTATAACAGGACTGGCCTAAGACCATCAGAAAGCACGGATATTTTATATTATAATTCATAACAGTAGCAAAAATATAGTTATGAAGTAGTAGTGAAAATAATTTTATAGTTGAGGGTTCAACACATCAGGAGGAACTGTTTTAAATGGTCACAACATTAGGAAGATTGAGAGCAACTGGTTTATATCAGTGGCTCCTGTAGCTCAGGCTTTCCTCACACTATGTAATTGAGAATTGCTTTGAACACCTAATCCTGCCTCTGCTACCCAGTGCTAGAAAGATAGTCCTGCAACTCCAACCAGGATGGACCTTGACTGGTCTGTGGAAAGGAGAAATAGATCAGTGAATGAGTACCCTCCAACTTCTCTAGATTTTATTGTGAATTTACAAGTGGAGTAGGACCAGTGTAAGAATTTAGTTCACTGACCAACTGTAAAGCAAGCAAAGTCACAACAGAAAAGGGGATTGGCAAGAAAAAGGGTGAAAGATTTCCTGCTGGGGCAGAAGTTGTCATTAGCAATGAGTAGTGACACACCACAGACCATGCATTCAAGAATCTATATAAAAACATAATTAAACCAAATTACTGTAGTTACAGTAGTTCAAGCAAACTAGAAGAACTGGGTAAAAGCATGTGGTCCTGCCTAACATGACTGTATACCCCGAGAGAAATGATGTGAGTTGTACTTGGTGTGCTCTAATACAGATCCCTAGTCTCTGGAGCACATGACCATGAAGCTTGTTTGAACTTTTTAATCGTATTCTTTTGATATTGTAATTACATTATTTTCACTATCTGTCTCTAGCTTCCAACTGTTCTCATGGACCCTTTATTGTGTTCTAATCCATGGCCTCTTTTTGTTTAACAATTACTGCTTGGATGTGACCTGGGTTTGGTTACAAGACCTCCCAGCTATGAAGTAAAGGGTTGACTACACTGGACATTGAGTGTGTAATAGAATATGTACACATAGGACCATGTGCCTTGGAGGAGGAACAGGAATTGCTCTGGGAAAATGGAAGATTTTAGTAAACTATAAATTAGGGTCTTGTCTCACCATAATGTGGAAGGAAACCTGGAGGGGTTTTGCTCTCTGAGACATTTGATCTCTGTTCACCCAGTAGGTTAACTGCTAATGTCTTGAAGCCCAGCTGGGTGGTTCTAGCTAATGAAGGACTCTACTTGACAGTCAGTATCACCATAGGAGGTAGCTTACAGGTTCTTTCCAGGATTCTCTTGTTATGCTGAATGGAGCTGTAAGGAGGGCCACAAAGCCGTGCAACGGTAAATGTAGGGGCCACTTTCCCCAGACCAGAAAGAGCTGGTTGGCTGAGCTATTAGCTGCTTGGAAAGCAATGGACCATGATCCAGACAGGTTCTGTTAGTTTGTTTGGTGATCTGGGTAGTGGCCCTTGGCCTCTGAGCTTTGTTGAGTGTGGATTCCCTGGGGAAGGGGGAGACTCTGCCATACTGGTGTGGGAGACTATGAGCTTATAATATTGTTGCCTCATGCTATATAATTGATAATTTCTTTAAACACCCAATCCTGCTTCTGCTGCCCAGTGCTGGGTAGATAGTCCTGAAACTCCTTCAGGACAGGGCCTTGACTGGTTTGTGAGAAAGCAAAAATAGACAAGCTAGTGAGTGACCTCCAGTATCTCAGTCTTTTAGTGCTTGCTTATAAATGAAGAGGGATCTGTGCAAGAACTGAGTACATAGGTCAAGCTTGAAGCTGGTATATTCACAGTGCAGAAAGTGAGAGACAGGACAGTGGTTGAGAACTTTCCTACTTCAACAGTAGTTGAGATTAGCAATGCTTAGCTATTTACTAATTATCTAATTAGGAATTCAGTAATCAATTTTAGATGCTCCATAAATGTCCTGATGGCCATTTCTTGTTGTCCACAGGCCAGGGCAATCAAGAATCTAAATAAAGAACTGACCTCATAAAACTAAATTGCTATATTTATAGTAGTTCAACCAAAATAGATCTGAGTAAAATGTAGCCCGCCTAACCGGACTGTTATTTTACTGGTTTTAAATATATCTCCAGAGATGAAAGGTTTGAGAAATCTTTGATGTGCTCTAATATAAATCTCTAGTTTCTGAAGCACATGGCCATGAATCCTATTTCAACTTTTCAAAATATTTTTTTGAGATTATAACAATATCATATCCGCATTCTCTTTCCTGTCCCCAAGCTTTACTATGACCCCTTATTATCTTCTAATTCATGGCCTATTTTTCATTAACAACAGTTGTAAATGTGACCCATGTTTGGCTGCAGGATTTCCCAGGTATGACGTGATAGGTTGGCTGCACTGCACATTGAGTGTGTAATAGAAGGTGTATTCAAAGGACCCTGTGCTTTGGATGAGGAATGGGATATGTGCTAGGAAAGTGGATGACTGTCTACTAAAATACAAACTTTCTGGTCTAGAACCCTGTCTACTGGGCTGGAAGGGCAGAATAGGAAGTACTGTGCTGTCTGGTGATCTCTGATCACCCATTAGGGGAGCTGAAAATATTCTGAGGCCCAGCAGAATTGGCCTTAGCCAATGAGGGACTCTAGACATCTTAGCAAGCAGGTAGGTTGCAGGTTCTTTCCAGGATTCTTTTCTACTTTTGTTGTAATGAGTTGTAAGGAAGACCACAACCTATGCCATGGTGCGTGTAGGGTGTTCAGAGCTGGAATTTCTGCTGGGGTTTGGATGGACCATGAGCCAGGCTGTGGTACTGTTGCTCTGTGTAATGACCAGGGTAGTGCCCCTTGTCTTCTGAGCCTCCCCGTGTATGGATTTCCTGGGGAGAGGGAGACTCTGCAGCACTTGCATGGTCGGATATTGTCCTTGTAATATCACTGTCCAGTGTACATACAGAGCCATGCTCTTGGTGTACAGTGGAAAGAAAAATTTGAAAACTGATAATCTGGTTTCTAGAAGTTCTGAATATTGCAGTCTACTTTCAAGTTTGTCTGATAAATGTCTCAAATGGTTTAAAAGCTGGTAGAACTATGGTGATGTTGATTGTCTTTTAGCAATACATGATTAAAATGCTTCTAACTTTCTGCGACCACCAGCTGCAATGGTGTAATTCAGTGATGTTTAGTTCCATGGGACAAAGGGAGTTTCTGTGCTACAGAGATTTTTTAGGTTTTTATGGTGTTGGGCAGCTAGATAGAGCAGAATCTATATCTTGCACTAAAATCCATTTGACAGGAAGCAGATG